AAGTTCTTGAAGCCTCAGGATTTGCAATTTATACGACGGCATACTAAACCCGTTACCTGGAATGGGCTTTTGAAATTATGGGAGTATAGGCACTGGGAAATTGAGGGGGAAGGGGGCTCTCTGCACGAAGTCAACATTCCATTCGAGAACTCACACAAGTATTGACAATTTGTCTAAGTGCCTTACCGAGTCGCGGTGGGAGCTAGTTTCAGGCTGGTGTCAACCCAAGATAAACCAAAAGGTGTGAAATTTGACCGGTCGGCCCCCAGTTGGATTGAAAACCTTTAAATCTCACGCGCGGTAACGATGATCAGTACCCAGAAGAGCATGCTGTTACCGGGCGCAGCTCCACAGCTCGAACAGATCGGTTAGTGGCTTAGTAGTAACCGTGCATAAGGCGACTACATGTCCACTAATACAGACATACACCCTCAAGAACATCAATAATAACAAATACACGGATGCAGTAGATTAACAGCAGGTCGGAGGTAGCGGAACTTTTCTCCCAGGTAACCTACCCATCTGGGATAACCCCGTCGGACAGGTTGCACTTGGGTGCATAAAGAGTAAAGACAACCACGAATACTAGCCGGACGAAATGGCATTCGCTTATAAGCTCCTGGGGATTGGATAACTTAGTGTAAATAACAACCCAACGCGTTCCGTCTCCAAACGGTCGCGCAAATGTAAAACTAACGGTTTCGAGGGTTGTAAATTGAACCTCAGGATTATACAAAAGTTAAAGCTGACGTAATTGCAGCAGCAGGCGTGTCTACCCATTATTGCACACGGTGGTGCCGTTAAAGCAGAGGTGACAGACTCACTGGCACCCAGGTCGTGAAATCCACCCGAATTGTAGCGCTCTAGCAGATATTTCAAGCCGCAAAGCCTCAGCCCTTGGAGCAGACGAAACCTGGAGGTGGCGAATGCAATCTGACAAATAAATCCTGAACGTTAACATCAAGACAGAGCGAATGCCATGCACAACGCCACCCGCAACGAATACCTCAATCACGTGAGATGGAGCCTGGCCCACCCGTTCTTGGTGGTCGGATTCAATCGAAGACCGTCTCACCATCCATCCCTAAAATAATCACTAATCACTAACTCACCGTCGAGCGGACGCCTCTTAATCCTTATTCTACCGAGCTTGCATTTTCCGACTCTCGCTCACTTGTTCTTTCCTGTAGGCCTCATACATAAACGGCCAGCCACCTATTACGGCTGACCTCCCCCAGGTGTCGTTTTGTCCACTTTCAGTCACCTTTTGAACCAAGAACAACACAATTGTGGAGCAGTCCCCATTTTGGCCTTCCCTCCAACTTATAAAACCTTTTGAAGGAACAATCAACAAACTAGTTCTAGCTTGAATTTTCCGTTGACCACCCCGTGTGGTGTGGGTTATAGGGTTAACTCTTTCACTGGAATCACTTCTCTGCAATAAAAACAGGATAGTGAGCGTATAAAGTGATCACCGTCATGCAATACCGCGTTTATTGAATGGCTAGCAGTGGCGATACGATAATCTGAAAAAACTATTAGCCATTAAACTCTGGTAGTGAGGGTTACCGGTCATTACTGTACTAGGCACAGGCATATGCTGGGATCCTATCGAGACCGTGTGACTAACGTACCCACAAAACCCAAACAGCAGACAAAAGTCAAAGCTTTTACGAAAAAACATTAAATAACATTCCATTGAAAAAAACAAATCACCGCCATCTGCGAGAACTTCCTCGCCTAACTGGACTCCGACGTCTGTTCTGCATTCTGTTTGACGGAGAACGGGAACGATACCTGCCAACTCTTTGATACCGTCTGTCATTTGATGGCCGCATACCCGAAGACGATCGTCGTCGTCGAGAGCGGGAGAATGACCTCGAGCGACGACTCGAGTTTCGAGGTTTTTCGGATGCAGATCTGGAACGCGAGTAACGTCTCCTGTCACGCTGTGACTTCCGTGGTGACCGAGATCGAGATTTCGACCGACGACTGTTTCCTCTTTTGGGCTTGCCTCTTGAGGAAATGCCATCTTTTCTATCCAATTTGGACCGCGCATCCGATCGAGAACGTGATCTTTGGCGACTACGTTTAGGAGACTTTGATCTCACAGGCGAGTGTGAAAAAGAAGCAGAGGAGCGATTTCGTTTTGGGGATTTCGACCTCCGACGCGATCGGGAGCGACCGCGATTGGATGATTCGGACCTTGATCGATCACGTTTCTTCTTTGGTGGGCTCACGACAGTTGATTTTTGTCTTAGTTGCTTTGGTTTTGAAGCACGTTTTACTACCTTCGTGTCATGCTCTGTAAGTTCTTCTGATTTTTCAATTGACTTTTCTTCAAGCACTTTCTCATCCTGGGGAGAACATGAAACATGTGGCGACAAGTGGTCTATAGAACCGAGTTCATCATTTATCTCACCATTTTTAGTTTCGTGCAGACTCGGGGAGTGATCAGACGTTCCCCGTATTTCATCTTCACCATCAGACGCATGATGATCTGAAGGTTCTGCTGTTTCAGCTTCAGAGGTAGGCGATACATTTACTTCTGAATGAATGCTAGGCACAGGTGATGCCTCAGTGGGCTCAGGCGCTCTCGATGAACCTTCATCAAAGGAACGTTGGGATTCAGCTTTTGGTGAAAAAGATTCCCGGTCTGGCGTGTCAGATGGTCGTAAATCTGTATCCTCAGTATTTTTAAGGTCACCACCGGAACTAGATAGCTCATCCTTCGGTGTTTCATTCGGTTGCTGAGGACATGAATCACGTGATGGCGAACGACTGCACTTGCTGGAGTGTCGTGAACGGGGTTCATCAGAAACGGACTTGATGCTGCCGGAACGCGACCTAGCAGCGCTAGAAATCGAGCGAATACTGGCAGGTGTGGACGATCTTGAGCGCCTAGCGCTTCCAGACAGAGGTGTAGACCGATGACCGGAACTAGATCGGTGGACGGGAGACTCAGATGTGTTCTTAGGCGAAGTTCTTAGACTTCGGTCTGGACTACGGCTCTTGGAGGAAGACTTAGATCGCGAACGCTTAGAGCTTCTGCTGGAATGAGTTGAAGAACGTCTTTCACGTCCATCACGCTCAACAGAGCGACCTCGACGGGATGCACTCGAGCTGGACGAGACTGAACGGTCAGAGGATCTACGACTGCGTCGTACCGATGACCGGGAGCGGCGACTGCGATCGGGCGACCCAGAAGAATTCCGGACCCTTGAAACAGAACGACTTGGGGAGTGCTGAACCGAGGGAATACTATCTGAACTATGCTGCCTTTTGGCATCTGGGCTTCGACTTCCATCTGATGATGTACGTTTGCGATCACGTGGCCATCTTTTTCTTTCAGATTTTTGTTCCGCAAGTTCAATGAGCTCTTTCGGTATATCTTGCCTAGCTTCCTTCAATACGTCAATAAGCTCCTTGGCCTAAAACCGTATGTCAATTAGAAGACAATGAAGGAAATTTTACCAATCGGGGTTGTTTTGCGTTGAAGAATGTATAAGCTGTTCCCTTCTTATCACTCCGACCCGTTCGACCGATTCGATGGATGTAGTCCTCAGTCTGTGCGGGATAGTCATAATTTACAATATACCGTATGTCGTTGATATCTAAAAGACAAAATACATTTGATAAGTGCAATACGCAACGTAAAATCAACCAGTGTCATGGAATACTCTTACCGACTATAATAATCTATCAGGTGCGGAATTCAATAAACATGCACCAACCTGTCCCAACTGGATCACGAAAGAATACGTCCACAGCCACTTTGGGGAAACGGGGCGCCCAACGCCTGATCCATAAGGAAACCCCAAAAACCATTATCTTTCCGCGCGACTGTCCAGCACGGTCGATAGGGACCAGATAACGCAGCAGGACGGGTGGCTGCACAGGGGTGCCTATGCAACGACTCGGCTGAGCAGGAAACTCAGCAGCAGCCGATTTTGCCAGAGATGAATGATGCTGGGACCGGAACTGTGTAGACTGAGGCATCATGAGACCCTCAGCCACACACGAAGGGGCGAAGCCAGTGCCACTAGCGGCTTAGAACACCGGCTGATCACGACCAGCGCATGGGCCAATCGCGAATAATTCGCAGCCGGTTACATTTAACGGCCGGCAAAAGTACCAGCCCATCACCTGGTCAGTTGGCCAGTGCCACAGGCTTGGATGACCTGTCAGGCAGCATTTGGATGAGAAAGACGTTATTTCATGGTGAAAAGCGGGACACCAAACTAAGGTCACCACGATATGCGAAGCAAAACACCAAAAGATATGGAACTACTTACCGAGTCCGCGAGAAGCAACATCTGTGGCCACAAGGACAGAAATGCGACCTGAGCGGAAGACTAAAGAAGTTGAGGAGCAAAAAATTAGACTTACGCTGAAGAACCCTGTCTCTCTCACGTTGATGCTTGTCTCCGTGCATGGCTGATGCATCAAAACCCTTGTCTCGGAGTTTCTGGCACAGTTCATCCGTCCTTCGTTTGGTTTCCGTGAAGACGATAACTCGTGCACGGTCGAAATCGTGTAGGAGAGAGACGAGACGGTGGAATTTATCTGTCTCCCGCACAATCTCAATGTGCTGTCGAATATTGTGATTTGCACTCAACTTGGTAGACCCAACGTTAATTTGAATATAATCTCTCAAAAAGTCTTCAGCCAAAGCCTTTACCTCACTTGGCCAGGTAGCGGACCACATCAGTGTCTGCCTATCAGGTCTCACCTGCGAAATTATACGACGGATGGAAGGCTCAAATCCCATATCTAACATCCGATCAGCTTCATCCAAGACTAGATAAGTACAACGTCGAAGATTTGTATTCCTGGACTCCAGGAAGTCGAGAAGACGACCTGGAGTAGCAATTACAACTTCCGGTGATCTTCCCAATTGTTCTAATTGCGAAGCCCTTGAAGCTCCACCGTACAATGAAGCTGAGCGAAATCCAGAATACGAGCAAAACTCCTCTGCAACCTTTTCCACCTGTTGCGCCAACTCTCGGGTGGGCACCAGAACAAGCACGATGGGGCCATCACCATGTTTGAGGCTGGGCTGAGCTCGAGCGTGAACGATGGCAGGCAAGAGGAAACTCGCAGTTTTCCCAGAACCAGTCTGAGCTATTCCCACTAGATCCCTACCGCTCAATGCGACAGGCCATCCTTGGCATTGTATAGGTGTAGGCGAAACCCAATTATTCTTCTTAATGACTTTCAGTATACAGCTTGGAAATCCAGCCTCGTTGAATTTGAACAAGGGGCGTGGAACGTTGCGGCCCAAAACAGTCACCTTCTCTCTCAAACGGAATTCTTCGATATCTCTTCTAGAACGGTCTCGAACGCTGGAGGTTTCACGGTAAAAGCGCTTCTCGAATCGCGTGAGGGAATAGGAATTCCAATCCACCTGCCGAAGCCTACGGCCTGGATCGGGATAGTTTCTAAATCGTCCGAAACTAAACGAAATAAATAATGCGCCAGTCTTACTTTCTCCGGGGAGGGGTCCTAGATCTCGATCGACGGCGGTAAGACATTTCACTTCACAAATCAAGCGATTTATGTCGGCCGCGCAACGAGTTAAACAAAAGTCGGTTCGGTTAGGTAAGGCTAACCTTTCAGGTGAGGTCACATGACTAACAGCTGCTGCTAACGCGAGTCCAACTTCCCGTGTTATTTAGCTTCGGTCTTTTCGAAGAGCATCGTTAGTCCTTGGTTTTCAATTTCAACAACTATTGAAGATTTGAGTTCGCGCGAAGTTCAATTAAGTTCAGCTAGTGTCCACGACCGTAACGACAATTGCCAGAGTGTCCAGGTTCTTGCACTGGTGAGCTCCCTAGATCCCTCAATGCCGATACAATATGAAAAATGAAATTACTCCTCTGTTAGAGACAGGATAAGCAGACCCGGACTTCCCGACCTGGATACGCTGACTCAGTTCACGGGGATTCACGGGGATTCACGGGCTTGGGAACCGAAGTTTTCGAGTAGCCCGGGTTCTGGTGGTAGGTTTATTGCTCAGTGTCGGACGGAGGTCCTCGGAGTAGTTGTCTGTTACTCGGTATTCGGGTTTGTCTGAAACAAGAGACAGTTAGGAATGCTACTGTTCAACTGGGTGGGCCCGTTCGTACGTAACCAATGGTCAAGACAACACAAATGGGTTCACAAAGACGCTTGCCACCACACGCTTCTCGTGTTCCAATGGCGCCCACCGCTACAAAACCGTTCTAGATGACCAGGACGCACAACCAGATCATACAATCATTCTTCCAGCAGTCGGGGTAAAAGAGTCAAGAAAAACAGTGCAGAAGGTAGAAGGTAGGGGAATGGAGTGGGACACCACCCTCACCTGACCAGAACCGCATCCACAGCTTACTTGGCACAGGATCAACAGATTGCCCCAAGGCTGCATGGCGCGGCCGCTTCGACCAGGATTTTGGTGTGTAGATGAGTGCATTGTGTGAGGAGTGACTGTGTGTATGGGTGCTGTTTGCAGTTAGGGAGGCAGTACCCCTGGGCCCTTACCCGAACCCGGTCTTCGACTTCGAGTGATTAACCAAGATAGTTATCCTCCCGCTGCGTAACCTGAACGTTTCATTTCTCTCTACGACATTCCTTTTTTCTTTTTTCTTGTTCCTCTTCCTCCACTTTATTTCCTTCTTTTCTTTTCTTTTATCTTTTTTCGGTTAACAGGATAACTCGCTATTTTGACGGCTCCGGCGGTTGGGACCCGGTGGGTTCCCTCATTTTTTCTTCTTTTACTTTTTTTCTTCTTTATTGTTCTTTTCGCGCTCAACACCTTTGGGCGTTGGGAGCCGACCCGAGTTTATCCTGCCACCAGTCACTCGCATTACTGTCTAGCCGGTGGGTTTCTTTTTTTTATAGTTATTTCTTTTTTT